TTCTCAGTGAGGTTGAAATTACATAAAAATTAAAATACACACAAAAATAGAAAAACCCATCTCATGCACCCTCCCCTTTTTTTCTAGAAAGAATCTTGGATCCAGCAAGGACTCCAAGACAAAGACCAGTGAAGGAAAAAGCCAGCCAACTCTGGGTCAAGGTCCCAATGCAAGCCTTACCTTGTCCAGGTAGATGATGAGGGTGTTCTTGTTGGTGAAGGCCTTGTTCAGCTCATACTTAGAGATGTATCTGTCAGTGCCACTGCTCAGCTGGGGAAGGGCAGGGCTTGTAAGAACCCCTCATGGAACGCCATCCCTCCCTCCAGCCTCTTCCAGGCACCAGGCTCATGCCCACTGACCCCAGCCCCCAAGCCCAAGGGCTTCATACCAGGTTGAGGTCACCAATATCGGGAGCAAAGCCAGTCATCATGGATATATCCAGGATGGACATAGTGGCATCATTGTCTCCCAAGTACCTGGATGGTGCAGAGAGAGAGAGGGGTTGAGTCTCAGGTGGGGTCAGCCTTGGGGGTCAGTGCCTGAACAAGAGGGTCTGATCAGGGACTAAGGCTTCTGCTGCCCACACGGCAGCATAGAGGGATGTTAGACTTTGGGAAACACTACCCCAGGGGAATAAAGGAAAGGTATCGTAATGGCCAAGGTGACTAATTGCTCGGGTTCTGGAGCCCAACTGCATGGGTTTAAATCCCAGCTCTGTATGATATTTGATGAGTCACTTGACTTCTCTGTGCCTCAGTTCTTCAGGGAAATGAAGACAAGAATATGGGCAGGTCTCACTTTGCATGATTTCATTACCATGGTCTAGCTCAACACCACCAGTCCCCCAGCAACACAGTTCTAATTTCAGCACCATGGTATATTAATTGTGAGTACAAATCTTGGTGCTAGGTCTTCAGTCCACCAATCACTACAGAAATAACAGGTGCACATCACAATCAATGACCAATTACCTCCCTTCTTTCAAAGTCTGTCAGTGACGGGTCACTGAGCGCCCACCATTCAGGTCACACACAGATAGCAAAGCATGTAGTTGTGTTACTTCCATGTCTCCCAGTGAAAAACCCACGTGACATTTTACCAAAACGGATCATTGAAAGAGGGAACTGGCTAACAACGATAAAAGTGTGGCAAAGGAATGAAGAGTGGTAATGCTGGAAGTAAAATTTCAATAGCACATATATGGAGTCACAGAAGAAAACAGCAGAGCATAGGATTGTGGACCCTGCTGTTGTTGGAGAGGCCAGCTAGGCAGCAAGTGGAACTCAGTGAAGGCAAGTGCACTAGCATAAATGAGGAAAGTGGCCTCCAAAAATCAAAGACATCCCAGAGGCATTGACATCGGCAAAAAACTTCACAGTAAAGGAACTCTCAAATACCTCATGACATTGAAAGCTCAAGGAGTAAATTGTGGAAGGTGACCCACCTTGAAAGGGAATTTGACAATTCACGACGTCATAGAAAAGATGATTGGATTGCTCCATATCATAAATTATACAAAGAGAAGAGAGGAGGCACTGTTCAAACTACAGTGCTTTGGGTAAGTGCTTCACAAAAACAAAACAAAACTTCAATTTCAGTGTTCTAGTGTTTTAAATTACAGTACACTACACAAGTATTCTTACTATACTTTTCATTTCTCTAGACCTTTATAATGAGAGTTTTTGAGGTTGTGATAAAAAAATGTAAAGGTCCTGGAACGATTGTGATTTTCCTCACTGATTATTAAGATCACTTTGCACAGTCTCAGCTTATGTGGTCATGGCTAGTCTCACACTGCCATGGAAAGCAACGACTGCCTGTGCTATCCACCTCCTGGCAGGTCCTCAGCTCAGCACTAGCCATATAATACACTCCCAGAAAGTATTAGGTACCACAGATAATACTTATAAGAAGACTTACTAGAGACACAGGGATGGCCAAGATGAACCCCAATGACCCATCTCTTACCTGGTACAGATCTCAAGGTACATGGTGCTCTTGGCATCCTGGGGCTTCTTGACTAGAAACATAAAAGGCAGAAGGATGGGGTGGGGCCCAGAAGAGGGGCAGCCAATAGGATGGCAGTGGGGGAAGGGTGACAGATAAAGTCTTTATTCCTTCTACCTGGTTCAGGGGCTGGTCGTATGTTAACCCTGAGGTCGAATTTCTTGCAGGTGGCTCTGCCTTTGACCTTGGCATGGTACATTGTTACCACCTGGTGAGATGGCAGAGGAGACTAGGTGTCAGCTTACTTGACTTGGGAAGAGGGTCCCTTTGGGGTAGAGGGGCCGAGAGAAGGTGGTGAGCCAAGCGGGTGTGGGTTCCGTTCCTCACCGACAAGGTGCCTTGTCCTTTCCCTTTAGCTGTCACTGTGAAAGCCTCATTTTCCTTGGTCTACAGGGAGTGGGGAGAGAAAAGAGAGGGTGTAGGGAACCAAGCCTTCCCCTGGCTGCAATGGTCATCTGCCCTCCCTCCTGCCTCCTGGCAGACCCTGACTGGCATGGAGGACGTGGGCAAGGAGGGTTTGGCCGAGTGGCTGTACCTCTTCAGAGCGCAGGAGGCTAGCGGAATCCCAGAGAATGCGGTGCACCACCGGAGCACTGCGGCTGGGCAGGTTGATGGACACATCCAGATTCAGATCATCATGGTCAGGGACGTCCTGCTGGTATTGGGCCAAGGCTTGGAACACCATGAAAGTGGCCTAGAACCCATGAGAGAGAAAGAGCGTGACCTGGGAGACTGAGATAGCAGTTCAAACCCACTTGGGGATGAAGAGGCTCAGCTCAGAGCTGGGGACACTGAGCATATGATCTATGTCAAAAGTGACACTTGACATGTGATTGAGAGCCCATCAGAGAAAAGGGGGAACAAACTGGAGTCTGACTTTGCTGGAGCTTGTGGTTGCTAAAACCATGGTGTAGAACCCACGAAGGATAGAGAGGCTTGGATCATGCTCTAGAATAACTGAGAACATGGTCTAGAACCCACTAGAGGGAGAGAGGGACTTCATTAATTCCCTACAATAATTGAGAACCTGGTCTAGAACCCCCCAGTGAGATAGGGTTAGATAGGGAGCCTGATCAACCGGGAACATGGTCTAGAACCCGCCAGAGAGAGGCTCACGCCTGAACCTAGGCCTCAAGAACATGATCTAGACACCAGGAGGGAAAAGGTGACTCAAAACACTGCTTGAGGCATCCAGAATCTAGTCTAGAATCCACAGATAGATTTGCTACTAAAAAAACCAAACACAACTGATGTGGCCACTTCATTCCAATAACTGCTTCTTTTGCTCTCAGCAGCCAGAAGAGGTGAGGATGCAGCTGCCTGGGGGATGTGGGACCACTTGCCTGGGTGGAACCATAGCCACCTCCATAGTATCTCTGCTCGTTGAGCCAGCGCACGACTGGAGGCACAAAGTCAAAGTCTTTGAGCAGCAACAGGGCCAACAGGGCATAGGATGTGGCTTCCACATTGTAGAGCCTCTGGCCAGGCTCCTCCCAGCGGTTCTTCTCTGCAGAGAGAACATCAGCCCCATGCTTACTGCTCTGTCCAGCCTGGAGATAGCTCCGAGAAATCCCAGAAAACAGACTCATACGAGACCTCTTGGTGTTCAGGTGTCCTGCCCAACATTTGAGGCCCTCAATATGCTGTTTCCGGCCTCCCACTTCCCTCATCAACCCTCACTCCTCAATTTAAATTCTGAACTGCAGCCCCACTGATCTATGTGAGACTCCTTATACTTGCCATGCTCATTCTTACCTCTGACCCTTTGCATATTCTGTTCTATTTGGAGCACCTTTTCTCCATCTACTCCTGGTTAATTCTTACTTATCCTGAACAATTCAGCTGCAATGGCACCCTAAGACAGAGTGAGGTCTTTCCTTCTGTCTCTCTAAGCATCCTGTGCTTCTCCTGTGGCAGGACTATGATGCTCTACAGAAATCTATTAAGTCGTTTCTTTCTTCAACTAGAGTGTGAGGCCATGATTGCAGGGGCTCTGCCATAGTCACTGTGATGTCCCATGTGCCTAAAAACGTACTTATAGCATAGACTGTTGCCAAGAACCATTCCCTCCTGTTCCTGGGCACACAGTTGGACTACATTTCCCAGATGTCTTTGCAGGTAGGCATGGTCACATGCCTGAGCTCTGTCCAATGGAATGTGGACAGCAATGATGGGGCCCCTTCCATGCCTGGTCTACTTCCCTTGCACAGTTTTCCTGTTTCCCCTTCTGCTTGGATGGAATGGGTTCCAAGGCTTTGGGGTGGCAGAGTCATGAAAAAAAAGTGCCCGAATCCCTGTATCACTCATATGAAGGACAGCTGTTACCAGCAAGAAACCAACTTTTGTGTGTTAAAGTGCGTCAGTATACATTCAGATATGTTATATCAGTAAGCATAAACCTGATATGGAACCAAATAATTAAGTGCTCACTATGTGCTACCCACTGTGCTAAAATCCCTATGCCATTATCTTATCTCATCCTAATTACCCTTGAGATAATGAGAATGTTATTAACAATACTGAAGGCAATAAAAACATCAGTGATAGATCTCTTACTGTGTGCCAGACTTTCTTCTATCTGCATCACTCATTTAATCTTTACAACCACCCTATGATGCAGGTGTCATTTTAAACACAAGGCCCAGAGAGGTTAAGTGAATTATACAAGGTCCCGCAGTCAGAATGTGGCAGAGTGGGATTTGAACTTGAATCTGTCTGATATCAGAGCCCTGTGTCATAGCAAGTGCTCAACACACACTCGTTGAAACATTCAATGGACCTTCTGGTATCACAAGGACTTTTCAGGCCTATAGCCGTCTACCCCAGTTCAGCTTAGCACCATCCATCCCAGCTCAGCTTAGAGCCATGCATCCCTCCTTGCCCATCATGCTGTCCCTCACCTGTGGCTGTGTTCAGAAATTTGTTGAGGCGGGAGCCGTGCAGCTTGTCCAGCTGGGCCAGGGCATAGCCAGCAATGGCTACAGTATATGGTCTCCGCAAGTTCTCGTACTGGGCTTCAAGGAAGTCTCCTGCCTTATTGATGCTGCCCCCCAGGCTCTATGAGAAAAAGATTGGGTACTCTGGTCAGGTGGGCACTGCTGTCACAGGAACCTGGCAAAGTTCACATAAGCACCACTTCCTGGGCACAAGGTTTCTGTCCTTGAGCCATATCTGTCTTGGATCTGTCTATTTTTGAGGATTTCCCAGACATATTAGCCACCTTGAATTGCTTTGTTGCTGAGTACCTACTATGTGGCTGGTGCAGTTTATATACCCAGTGGTATACTGGTCAATGTTTAATAACCAGCTGTCTAGTTGGGGTAGGGGCTGATTTATAGATTGCCAATTACTATGGTGTAAATACTCCCACCGTGGCCAGCTTCAAGTGAACATTGTGATGTCCCGTAACATGAAGTGGAAAAGAGATGCCTAAAGAAGTCACTCATGAGCTAGAATGAGCCAGGGTTAGCATACCACTGGAACCACCTCTTATCCAGTTATCATCATCATCATCATCATCATCATCATCATCATCATAGCTAACACTTACTATGTGCTAGTCACATATTCCCTCATTTAACTTCAAAATCCTATGAATTAGGTATTATTTCATCATCATCCCTATTGCAAAGATGAGGCTACTGAGACCCACAGAGACGCGGGCCAGAGGCAGACAAGACTTGTAGTGTTTGCTGATTTCCATAGTGTAAATGCAACCATTTCCAATTTCAACCTACCAATGTGGCATCACTGAATGTAGAGTTGGGAAGAAATGGGTAATAGCACAGTATTATACAGTATGTCCACCATACAGGTATGGCAGACATAAATAACCTCACAAGCATAGATAATGATAAAAGTTAGTAAAATAAGAAATGAAGAGTTTTGAGTGTGTATTACCTGTGTTGTTTTTTTTGTATTTTCTTTTTTAATTGTGTAATTGAGGAAGGGGAACAGTGTTGGGGAATTGGGGAAGGGAACCAGCCTTGTTGTTGTTCTTCAATCTTAGTTGTGGAGGGTGCCAGTCGCCATCTGGCTGCCTGTCGGCAGCTCGTGGCCTCTAAGCTCAAGGTTCTGTGTTACAATCTTAGTGGCGAGTGGGCGTAGCCACCATCCCATGCGGGAGTCAAACCAGCAGCCTTGTTGTTAAGAGCACACGCTCTATCCACTGAGTATTCTGGGTGACAGCTCAGCTCAAGGTGCCGAGTTCAGTCTTAGTTGCGGGTGGGTGTACCCTACCATCAAACAGACAGTCTTGTTGTTAGGAGATTGTGCTCTCACCAGCTGAGCCATCCTGCCACCTGTTGGCAGCTCAGCAGCAGCTCACCTCGGGAGCAGAGTCACTGGCCCATGTGGGAATTGAACTGGCGGCCCTGTTGCTCAGAGCTCACACTCTTCAGCTAACTCCTAACCAACTGAGCCACTTGGCCGGCCCTTACCTTTGTTTTTATGTTTAATGTTTAGTCTAACTTATTTAAATATAAGTTTATACAATTTAATTTTTAATAATGATTGCATTTAACAAGCAGCTTGAAAATTCCTGGAATATTAACCAATTGTTAATAATTCATTAATATTCCAGCTGGCTCCAGCATACTCTGAATTTGAACCCTAGCAGTCTGGTTCCACAGCTTATGCTATACCCCATTATAAGGTTGCTATTGGGTTGTCGAAAAAGTCATGATGCACTTTTGCAACAAAAAACAGAAAAAATACGTCATGACTTTTCTGACAACCCAACATGTTGTAGTAGAAACTAATCTTTTTGCCTGTCCAGCTGTGTCTCCTACATCTACCCATGACTTTTGTAGGAACGTCTGCTCCTCCATTTCATTGACACGGCCACAGTGAAAGAAGCCATATTTGCCCAGTAAGACTTACTTCCTGGTCTCAGCTGATTGGTCCAGAAGTGATCACCTTACTCAGCCTGAGCCAATCAGTATCCTTTCCTAGGAATCTGAAAGCTCTAGCCTTGATCTGTCTATTTCCCCAAGGAAGGCAGTCATGTTCTGCCAGGTAGGCTGGCTGGCAGAGAAAGATGAATTATTGGGCAAGAAGATAATGAAGGACACAGGAGAGATGAACAAAGCATCCTAGCAGAGTCCCTGAGGCCACTTTCATCTTTGCACTAGATAAATTATAGGATGCATAAAATAATTGTCCCATTAATTTTTGCATAATCTAGGCCACACATATGTTACATCTAGAACAACTCAGAGAGTCCTAAAACCATACAAAGGTTATTATACCCATTTTACAGATGCACACACAGAAGCCCAGTGAGGGGAAGTGGCTGAGAGTCTGTAAAGTCAGATCTATTTGACCTTACAGCTTCTTTTCTACAATAATTTCTTTCAAATCTGCAAGGTTTGAATCAGAAAGGTCTGATTTTTCTTGGTCATTAAAGGTAACAGCCTTCTCCCCTCCATCACATTTCTGGGGTCCTGAGGAGGGAGAAGCAGCTGAATGAAGGTGGGATCCTGAGGTTCCCCACTTGGGAAGCTAAAGATCAAACAACCCACTCTCAAAACCCTAGGACAAAGCAGATGGCGCGATCACCAAACCTCCAAGGATGAGGTGTCCCGGGTAGAAGAGGGGAGGAAGGAGAGATTGGGGGACACTTACATTGACCTGTCCCTCGCAAATCTCTTTAGCCTCCTGCAGTGCAATGACCACGAAGGCTGTGAGGGACACATCTTTCTCTTCAGCATTCTTGAAGCCACCCTACAGTGTGGAGCAGGAAGCAAGGATGGGTTATCGTGTGTCCCCACATTCCAACCAGTAGGTCAGGGCAATGCTGGATCTCTCCCCAGTGTCTCACAGGACGAGTGAATGAAAGAATGAAACTTGAGTATTCATTTGTTTATTCACTCATTCTGCAAATGTCTCTGGTGCTGTGGACAAGATGGTGGACAAAAACCAGACACTGGCCCCAGCCCTCATAGAGCTCCCCATCCAGCAGGGGAGACAGACATGAACCAACAAGCTCATTGAAAGATACAGCATTACAAACTGATGAGTGCTATGCAGAAGTGGGTGTGGCAGTGAGAATGGATAGTGAGAGTGTGACTCACTTGTGGAGGTTGGGAAAGGTGTCCCTGAGGGATGACAAGCAGAGCCACAATTTAAGGAGTAGGATTCAACTCTCAAAGAGGGCAGGCGTAGCATACTAGGGAGCAGGAACAGCACGTGCAAAGGCCCTGTGGCTGGACAGAGCAAGGCTCCAAGCAGTACAGCTGGAGTGTGCAGAGAGGGGGAAGACTGTGAGGCTGGAATCCCAAAACGTCAGGACAAGGCAGTGATTCTTCAACTTGAGCATACACAAGCATCACCTGGGGTGGGGGCTTATTTAAACTCTGATTCCTGGGCCCCACCCCTAAAGTTTCTGATTCAGTGCATTTGAGCTCCAGCCCGAGAATGTGTGTTTCTAACAAGTTTGCAGGTGATGCTGATCCTGCTGGCCCGGGGACCACACTTTGAGAACCACAACTCAAAGAAGTTCTAAGTTTATTTTCAAAGCAATGAGGAGCCAGGGAACTTTCATTTTGCACTAGACTCGGCGAGTCTCTGGTCTTTGCAAAACAGGAATAACATTCTCAACTCCTATATTCCTCTGTCCCCTCCACACAGTGAATTGGGCAAATGGCAGATGGAGCCTCTCCTGTCCATCCTGTGATACACAGGTCCCCCTCTCCCCCAGCCTGCCCTGAATCCCTGCCTCTTACAATCATTTCTTGGTGTATCACGGGTCCATCCTCCTGGAAGACTCCATCGGGCTTCTGCTTCTCCAGGATTAGCCACTTGACAGCCCCACAGAGGACTTCAGAGTCGATGGCAATGAGGTTGGAGGCCAGAGAGAAGACCTTGACCACGTAGGCTGTCAGCCTAGGTGGCCCAGGAGCATGAGCCAATTGGCTCTGGGATCTTGAGACTGCCATCCTAGCTAACCAATGAGCAGAGAGGGGCAGGGCCTGGCCAGGTGTGCCGTTTCTGTGTGCCAGGGCTCAGGACCCAGTGTTGCATGCAGACAGTGCTTAATGACCGTAGGTCACTTAGCTAATGGTCGCCTTGACTCCACGGGTGGAGGGGGCCAGCGGCAGAGGCTGTGTGGGGGATACCAGCCTAGACCTCTGTAGGCCAGGATCCAGGCTCTGCTCAGGGGAGTACAAGGCCAAGGATGGGCAAACTCACCAGGTGCTGGGTGTACGGTCCGGGAAGGCCGCAAAGGCCTTGTTGGGTTGTCTGTAGGACAGCTCCTGGGTGTACCCTGCAGGGAAGAGATACATGTCACGAGAGGAGCAGGGTCTGAGTGGAGGTGGTGGCTGGTGTGGGTACACCGGAGAGGAGAGAGGTTTAGAAAGGGGACAGGAGTCTATCAAAGGCGGGACAGGGGTTCAGAGTGGAAAGAGGGGACTCAGTACTGGGAGGGATATCTGGAGGGGAGGAGAGCTTAAAATGGGGAGGGATTCTGAGGGGGTTGGGGGCTCAGAGAAAAGAGGGGTAAGGAGTGCTCAGAGGAGAGGGGGTTCAGAAAGGGGAGGATTCTCAAGGGGGTTCAGGGGAAAGGGGGCCTCAGTGCAGAGAAGCTCAGAGAGGGACTCAGAGGGCCCAGGGTCTCAAAGAGGGGAGAGCAGGAGCTCTCCAAGGAGGGGCGGGGCCTTGATAGGGTGTCGAGTCTCAGGGGAGGAGAGAGCTCACAGAGGGGCGGGGCGTCTCTAAGAAAGGCAGGGACACACCCTTTTTGATGAGTTCCAAGGCCTCCTGCCTCTTATCTGGGCCGAACTTGTTCCACTGCTCCGTTTGGTCCAGGTAGTGCACCGCGATGACTGTTGGCGTCATGCCAATCATGATTTGCTCCCCGCAGCCCGAGGGGGTCACAATGAGGTGCTCCAGTCGCTCCGCATCGATGGCGTCCTCCACCATCTGGGCCACTGGGTTCCCTGCAGCCAGGAGGAAAGATGGTCCTCAAGTTACAAGACCCACTGTGGGGTGGGGAGAGTCAGCGCTGCCCCCAGAGTTCCCAGGGTCTGACAAGCCAGGGCCAAAGAGTCAGGGCTAGGTTTGGGCTGGGGCATGAGACTGACGGGGAGCTGTCCCTGGGTCCCCTTGTTAAAACAGTGGTAAAATAATTCCAGGAAAAATTCTCATGAATAATTACATAATGCTTAATGCTATTTGCCAAGCTCTGTTCTAAGAGAACA